CCCCCCCCCTCGTTTTAGTTTGATCAACACACGTTTCTTCACTGTTGCCCCTCATTTTGTTCAATTTTACGAAAATGCGAATCCCCCGGAACTTTTATTTTCGCGTTGCCAAGTCTAAGTTCCTTTTTCCAAAATGAGTACCACCAGATGTTAATGGTTCTCTTCACGAATGTTGGGCTCCTACCACACTTCAGCTAACTATCACGAGGAATATCGGTAGGCCATTTTGTATGGAAGACTTTCGTCCTATTCACTGCTTTTGGCAATTTGGTTGCAAAAGTTACATCACCATTCTAGAGTGTTTTGCAGACATATTGGTAATATCACGTCACCTGGTGACGAAACGTTTGCAATCAAACCGTCAAACCCAACTTACAGAATAGTAGTTATGTTAGCTAAACCATTCTCTACATCTTGAGCCTAAGAGTAACCTTGATAGTACTAACTAACTAGCATAGCTATGACCCTCGAAGTACTCAATGCGCTGACCAGTTATTTCGTTATTTGCTCTTCTGACGAAGACGATGCTGTTAAATCAAGTGTCAGGATCTTCTGTTGTAATTTCTCAAGTTTGGAAACCTTTCCGGAGGACTCCGCTTCGTTATGGCGGGGGACGTGTACCGCCGTGCACTTCTTCAAAATGGTGTCCCCAAGAATCACGTGCATGGTATATGCAACTTGCGTACGAAACTCTCTAAGGCTTCCATAGGGTTCACCACATGTGCCAGAAAATTCTCATTTTCCCTTATCTTCATCTGGGCTCGGGACACGATCCACATCATCCCTCGGCTGCTGCCACCATTGGCAGTCATTAAACTCGCGGGCCGTGTTTTCGTTATCGTCGATGAAAAATCGTTCAGGGTGCCCCCATTGTCGGACGCAGTTCTACTTCACGGCTGTTTGAAGATTCCTCGTAACTCGGATTAGCGACCGTTCGAAAAGACGTGGCAGTAATTGGCATCATTTGCATGTTTGATTCTGAAGTTTTGATGTACTCTGAACTGTTTTTAAGTGAACAGTCTAACTTTCCCAGCCATTCCCTTAAAGAGCAATTGACTTGAAGCTGACCACTAGAGGGAAACCGAAGTTGTTTCCTAAAAACTACTGCATTTTCAATGTCGAGCCTCGTATAATGTAAACTGCCTGCATACTTCAGTAGTTTCTCGATGAGATGAATTCTCTAAGTAGTCACATTTTCACCGGCCAAATCATCTTCATTTATTTCAATGTGGAAACCGAAAAATAGATAGGTGAGGTTTATGGATGCAGAAGAGTACTTATAGGCTTCCTTTTGTGTATAATAAGCCGTCAGTAATAAGTTTATGAACGCGGTTACGTCAATGAACTATAGTGCACGTAGTCAATTTCGGAACCATAAACATCCTGAGGAGTGATTACTGTTATCGAAACGTCCTTCGATGCCGAATCATACATTCAGTCATGCACTTGCGCCACGCTTAAGGCAGTTTTAAAAATTCGACCAGGCTCAACAGATATCGGGCAGAAAGCTGAAACTGGTGTATATTAATTTCTCTCCTGAATTTGTCTTTATTCTGGTGGTGGTTTGGGAAGAGTTGATGATTTTCAGTTGAGAAGCCGATCTATTCTAAAGAGCCGAAGAGCACTGTACAGCTGTTTTATCCTTGGGAATCACAAGGGTTTCGAACCCGTGACCTTCAGGCCAGTGACGGAATACAACCGATGATACACAGTAGGCTAGTCAGTACTGTGATCAGCTCTCACTTAGACAGGTTGTAGCATCACTCATCCTTCAGTCACAGAAGTCACATCACGTGGTCAGTTCTTAACGTCGCGTACGTATATCTGTGGTTTTCAGTTGGTAAAGTGCAACAGGATGGCAATCACTGTTCAGCCCACCAGAGCGTTGAAAGCACAGGTAAACTTGTTTTTCAGGGCGCCGTTCCACAACATCGGCAACGGTAGCGATGACGAACATTTTGGCGTACATGTGTTAGCAGATATGTGAATGCGAACCATTTTTTACTTTGGTGCGCTCGACGCGATTGTTTAACGATGGAGGGTAGTATGTCCGCAGCTCAGCAACGTCCGAAGATGATGTCAGTATCATTCGAAAATTTCACCAATGTTCAAGTAACTTCTCTGTGTTACGAAACGCTGGGCGGACCTGAAAAATCCGGAATGAATGCCGGCGAGCGTACCACCGAATGTTTGAGATACTTGACTTATTAGTTTGGCTACTTACATACCATGAGTAAGCTATACTTAATGCGATTCGTGTGCTGGTGGCAATTGCACCTAAAGATGCAGAATATCTCATTTGCAAACAAATTTGGTTTTGCAAGAGGCTCACCTGGAACCCAGCTGAATCCCTCGTTTGTGATGTACCCAGGCAACTAAATGTGCTGCACCAGGCCGCCTCATGTTTCAGTCGCTACGATGTTCGAGATACCGCGATATACGTATATTCGTGATGCACTACTCATATGGTTGTGGGCTGTCGACGGATTTTCATCAACCTTACGAGTAGTGCATTACGAATATGCAGAATCCCTATTTCCATGGTAAAGTTGGATACATTTGGCAGTCCGAACTGTATGGTTTCTTACGGAACGATCGAAATACAACACCGGAACATCAGCAAAACTTAAGAGTTACGCCAGGCGCATGATAAATAATCGCGGTCCTAGCACGGAGGAATCAAGTATCATGATGTTGGCATGATGGTTTCGGTTTATTTAGATATTTTACTTTGTTCCCATAGCGATAGGCGTCACCATCCTTACGCTGGAGGAAGGAATTTTTTTAAACTGAACCTTAAATCCAATGGGGTGTGGCTAAGTCACCAAAAATTGCACAGATATCGACCACCAGGAAGCCAGAAATCTGTGTCACCTTGGCGAATAATGTAAATCGAAGTCAACATATGCTCCAGGACAAAGATTTCAGACAAATTTCAATTACCTGTTGATAGTTTCAATTAGTCTTGGGTTTTCTCACGAATACCGAAAATCGTTCAGTTCTACGCAAATGTTTCATTCAGTCATCCAGCGGTCGAGAAAAAAAGATAAACATCTAATGGCCAGCAATCTAGATTGCTCAACATTCCACTATATACAGTGGACGTGTCTGGTGTCTGCTTCGCTTTTCTTTGTTAGTTGATGAAAGTATGATTCATCTGAACAGTCTACCAGGGATACGTGGCCTGCGACCGATGCGATTTTCATGAGGATTTCATTTAGTTTCTGTGTCATTCTGTTTTTTTTTCAGATTTCCTCGATCTGAGTGATTCAGATGCGGATGAGAAATCGTCACCTAAGCGAAGACATGCAAGACCAGCTCGACGAGGTCTGATTCGTCACAAAACGCGAGACCCTGACCCGACTTGGTCTAATTCAAGTGCGTTACAGTTAGCTTTCATAACTGGTTCCCAACCGTAATTTGTTTAGCACGAACCCTATGAAAAAGCAATCAAAATACTATGATTAATTTTTCTCTTCTTCCGATAAGCTGCCAAAGACAGAACTTCGGAGCTATCTGGGTACTTGATCCTTACCATAGAAGTCTGCAAGAACGTTCCCGACTTTGCTTTATAGAACATAACGAATGTTTTGTCTGAATTCTTTGGCCTCCAATGCAACGAGGCACGTACCGTATCACAAATTTGTATCCGACGTGTATTTCTATTCCTTGCCATCAAAGGTTTGAGCATATTCAGTTCTAGAGCAGCACATCTTGCTATGTACATAGCTGCCTTCCCCAGTTCGGTTTATCAGATATACACTATGTACCATGAATACAATTGTCCCAGCTGCTAAGTTTCGACCACATGGAAGTGGGAGATACAGCCAAGCATTAGAGGTGATGACATGTTCAGTTAGTTCTGGAACTGGGTAGCTATGCATCGAGGTCGGTAGCTTGGATGCAGAAGCGTCACTGACTGGGCGATTGGGTGTTACTTAACAGTGATGAATTAAACCCCGGGGTCCCCATTCGGGAAAGTGACACTTGTCGGCCCGACTGAGTTTACTGGTTGTATGTGTAGGCGACTCAGAAAGCTTGCGATACACAAGCACCAGGTCCCCTCGTTCATGCACTGTTTTCTCCTCTATTCACTCTAAGACTAAATGTAAACAAACAAACTTTGGTTGTACGGCAGTGAAGCATCAGTATCAAAGCTGATGTTGCTGCCTCGAATGATGATAAGGTGACTTCGTTGTCAGGCCATAATCTGCACACCGCTCAATCGTTTACACTCTTCATAGGGCTGGGCGAAAAGGGCTCCGCGAGGCGGATGGTCCACTGGCATGTGGAGTACATGTCCTGAAACGTGAGTTATTGGCCTATCACGCGAGAGTTTCTCCTTCCTAAAGGCACCTGGTGTACCTCAGCATTGCTAATCCAATGTTTCCACCTGACCCGGCCAATGCTTTGGAGGCACCGGTAGCGAAACACTGACATCTTTCATGTCATCTGCACGTGGAGGCTATGTTTCTGATGTATAAGTTAGTATGGATCGCACTGTCGCAGTGTAAACTGTGCCCCTTGCAGACAAAGTGACGTCATGTCGACGCCATAGGTACCGAAGGTTGGCAAAAACTGCCCTGGTGTTGGTGGTCGTTGGTTTGTTCGCTGAGCTGGGGAATTTGATTGTAATCAAATTGCCCATCTCAGAGAAGGGAAGGGATGTCAGGGAAAGCCGTTGAGCGAAGAACTCCGTGGGCAAATGACACCTCCCGGTTACCGAAACTGAAGTAGGGGGTTTATTTTGGATACTTCACTTCACTCGAAAGGTAGTGGAGGGATTTAATTTTTTATTACGGGACTCTACCCCTAGTGTCTGACACGGTTCTCAGGGTTTTCTTGAGCGATTCTTCTCGCTGCCACTAACTTAACAGTCTACTTGGCTGCAGGGGGATGGTCTGATCCGATGACACAAGAAGTAAAGCATTATTGTCTCACACCTAGTGTGGCTGCGCGCAGCATGTGTCTTTGAGCAGTACCGGGCTCTATGTTTTTTAAGGTTGTTTCGACCGTATTGAATCCCATGAGAACCCACTCAAGACGAGAGCGTAATAGCCAGGACCCAGATTGATAGGCACCTTGAATGAAAGGTACTTCAGAATACAATGAAATGATACTGAAATAGACGAGAAATCAATATTACTAGTTGCCGTTTTAGCAACCGGTGATTTGGACTATATTTAGTGCCGTTCAGGCGACGCAGGGACCATATAGTAAGACTCATAATGTTCAACCCTGTGAATAGAAATCACTCACCTCATGAATTCAACGTTGAAAAGACAGTGTTGGACGCTTGTGCGTGCACAGTAGTGTACAGAACTACTATGCGCATATGAGAAATACGCCACTTTGTAATTTGCTTCATCGGGAGACACTCAATTGAATTCCTCGTTTACGACATACAATAGGCACCTCATGTTTCATTTGCCGCTGTAGTTGGCGTGTCGCAGTATAAATTCTTGACATAACACACAACACCAAATGAGTGTGTTTATTCATATGTATACACTTTGGTGTCCATGCAGAAAATCAGTGCTACACCTACCTGATGAGCCCCAAGATGGATTGAATCGGTAGCGGGCTGCCGAAGAGTTTTCAGCAACCTTATAAGTAGAACACAGTAATTCTCATACATGGTACATCGTCAAAGAACTGAATTGGAACCCATCGGACACCTGTTTTGACTTGGGATACCATCCCACTCAGCTGTGAGTGTTTCGTTCGGCTTTGAGGTAACAGTACAAAACTGCAATCCATTAGAAAGTATTGAGCTAATCTGCCTAGTTCCCTGGTATGTTATCTCCAAAGTACATGCATACCTGTGCACTGGACGGCGTGACTGGTTGCCTGGAATGCTTAGAGGTCGTAGACTACTCCGCACAGTTGGAGAGTCAAGCATAGTTCGTGGCGGATTTTACATTTAGCCGATGGACAGAATCCTCCGAAGGTATTCCCTGGTATTCACTTCCTCGTTTCTTGAGTGCATTGCCTTATTTAGGAGAGTCAGTTGCGCCCAACGAAACTCTATATTTCAGGCGGAAAGTTGCTTTTCTGTAATTAGCTGAACTCACTTTTGTTCCCCTCCCCATATAATTTCCTGTTCCACTAAGTTGTACCGCTATATGGCTCCCAAGGGCATATATTTCTTAGCAAACATCAGCCACGAGTTGATCACCTTCTCTGTGAGTGCGGCATCGAACACAAGTTTAAACACAAGCCCAATCACGAGTGGCTTGTCCGAAACATCTACCACATTGGTTAGTTCTCAAGTGATGGCGTGATCATGTTCAATTAGTTGGCTTCTGGTGCTTTGCCTGGTTGATTGTCCACTTGAAACCGGTGTGAACGTGCCGTTCTATCGTTACGCAATGTGCTCAATTACCAACTGTGTCGTTTTCGTCTGTTCTGGGCTCGTGGAGGATTCCACGGCAACTTTCAAAGCACTGAACAGTTTGATCGATATGTTGCTTCTGGTCGTTTACTTCCAGCCAGACGTGTATTTGTTTCGTGAATTTTTCACGCAAACACGTGAATTTTTTCACGTAAAACAATAATAAGTGCTCTGTTTTGAATGAATTTTTCTTGATTTAACGGCTATTTACCGATATCTTGGCAGGTTGTCACCACGGCGCTAGCGCCAATCAACTGTTTAACTACCGTTCTAGTTATCACCCAAGAGCACAGTCCGCGTTGCCTTCAGCTGGATTGACCGTGCGCTGGCTCCTCTTCATTCGCAATTTTCATGTCAAGTTTTTCTCCTAATTACAACAGGCTCAAGTCCCCGTAAAGGAGGTGGTCGGTCCAGCAAAGGTGCACTACTTTCTCTCACCTCACCCAAGCGAGGATTTCCCAAAATTAGTCTGACTAGCGGTGGACTGGTACGTTATCCTTCTCCTTATTGGTACTGTTATTTATATTGTTATGTAACATCACTTGGCTTCATTCTGGCTTTTTGTGCTGCCACATCCTCCGGGAGCGTTCCGGACAAAATGTATAGCCAGCTTGCCAGACTTTCATTCAAAATAAAACGGATATGCTTTCTCCGTATTTCAAGGGCCAGCCTACTGATTGTTTTATTGTTGACAAAACTATTAACCATGGTCTGCTCGTCCATGGGCTTAGTTTATGGCGACAACTCCGTGGATTTTCACTTGCTTGCTACCCAGGACGGCAGAAAGTAGCAACATTACTCGACGCAGTTTTTTTTAAATATTTTTATTCGGCGTTGCACACTCAACATTCTTGAAATGCCAATTAGAATGTACGACCATACACCATTGAATAATTCTGCGTTAGTGCTACATTTGTTCTTGATTGATAAGACCATCGATTTGAACATTCTCGGGAGTGGTCGCTGTTGTTCTTCGCTTTATATTGACTGTTCGATTTTCTCAGCAGTCTTGAATTCGTTGAGATGACGGCAAACCATCTTGTTAATAAGGTGTTTGGTGAATAGTTGTGTGCTATTTCCCGGCTGCCTAATAACAATAATAAGAATAATAATATATCCTCCCCGTATAGCTGTTTTCCAGTGTATTCTTATCGGCATACTGGTCGGTGGCCAGACAGTCATACGTTTGCAATGGTTACTGTCATCATCATCATCATTGCCAGCTGTACTAACCGCGTACTTGTCGTACAGTGGTTGTAGCTGCCACAGTTTTGTTTACCGATGATTCGGGAAGGTGGGGTAGGTAGCTGCGCATTGGAGGCGGGAGCTGATAAATTAATGCGTAAATACAGCACTTTCGGTGGACTGTTAAGTAGAGGAACTGGGAATGGAGTTATGCATTGAGGGCAATAGCTTGGACGTACGGGCGCCGTTGAGGTGGCCCGTCTCGGTTTCCGCATCCAGGAAGACGGCAGTGACCAGTGCAGCTAAGCTTACTGATAATGGCTTTCATGCTTCACTGCCAAGTCATTGTTTGATCACCTCTGACTCTCTTCCACCCTTCACGTGGTTGTGCGAAAAGAGCCCTTCGAGGAAGTCGGTTGACTGGCATACGCATCACGTGGCCCAAGCCAGAGCAACCTATGCAGTTTGATCAGTTCATCTATCGAAGGTGAGTTATTTTTCCCGAATACCATTCGACGAACTTCAGCATTGCTGATCTGATGTTCTCACCAGATTCGGGGAATGCTCCGAAGACATCGATGGTCAAACACTGAAAGTCTTTTGACGTCCTCGGCGCGCAGCGGCTAGGTTTCTGATCCATATAGTAATATGGAGCGCACCGCAGCATTGTAAACTCAACCAATGACGGAGAATCTGATGTCACGCCTACGCCAAAGGTGACACAAGTTCACAAGAGCTATTCTGGCCTTCCAATATTATCTTTCGCGAGACCACCCGGACTGATACAGCTGTCCAGGTAAACAGATTTGTCCACTACCTCAATCGGTTCATCTGCAAGCA